CATACTCCATTAGCAGAGGCCCTCCATTCTGATTCTGATAGGCCCGCTGAGATCGCTCCTCACGCTGGGCAATATCTGGCAGGAAACTGCTGGCCCACACCTGTAAAGGGCAGGAGCAGAGAAGAGCAGGCAGCCTTAACCCCCAAGCCTCCAGATCACTGGCATACTTCCTTTGTCCCCTCCCTTAAGCCAGTTCCCCTCCCCACAGTGCTGGCTGGGGCCCAATCCAAAAACTCTGGAGACCCTGACACACTTACCTGGCAGTGGGGGTGGGGATTGGAACAGCCCATCATGGCTCCTTTGTTTTCAAAGATCTAGCAGGTAGAGTTAGAGAGCTTTAGTAGCCAAAAATATACGGAGTCAGCCCCCTCCCCACCACACTCCCGGTGGGAATATCACTCCCCAGAACCAGAGATGTACCACCCCCTCCCTGCCCATCCAGGGAAGGGGCGGCCTCACAAACCTGCACCCAAGGGTACTGGGCACCCAGCTCCTCTGTGACAGAGGCCCACGCATCGACAACAGCCCTGATCTCGGGGACTGACAAAAGTGGCAGCGTCACATCCGACCAAGGGTGGAAGCACATGACCTTACTAGGTGGCAAGGGGAGAAGCATGACAGAGGGATAGGGCTTGGCTGTGTTGGAGGCAGGACTCACCCCCAGTGTTCAGTCCCAGCCCTGGGGTAAAGTTGTAAGAGGGGAAATGTATAGTTACCAAACTCCTCGGGCGGCCTCTGTTTGGAAAAGGGGGTGATCACTGAGTCCTGAAAGAAGGGGGTATCACTCTCTGCAGAAGCTCCCAAAGACACCCAGGCTCCCCCATCCCCCATTAGCAGCTGGGGCCAGGTTACCTGGATTGGGGGCATCAGGCTGCAAGGCTGGGAAGTCATTGTCAAACAAGAAGGTGCCATCGTAGTAGGGATTCACCTAGTAGCAAGGATGGGCTAGAAGCATTTGCTGCCCCATACCAACACCCATCTGGTGGGCTTCAAGGGCTTACAGGCTACAAGGGGGTAGGGAAGGCCCACTCTGGGGTACAAAAAAGGCTTAGTGGGATCTGACCCAGAAGGAGGTCCACAGGCCCTATCGTGAGGGGCAGCTCTAAGGAGGAGCTACTCATCCTGGCCCAGCGAATGTAGGCTCTAAAAGCTTACCTCTCCGTTAGCTCGTGTGGCCCCGGGACACAGAGGGTTGTGGGGGTCATGGCGCGGCACTGTCTCCAGAGGCGGGGGCTCCACTTGTCCCTGCCACGGTCGCTTCATGCGGTGAGCTGACACCAGCACCCACTCATCTTGCAGCGGGTTGTAGCGAATATGCTGATGCTCTAGGTACAGAGAGTCAAGGTCAATCAGCAAGCGCAGTGCCGCCCACTATCCCCTGGGTCTCAACCACTAGCAGCTCCAGCTCAGAGGCGCCCTCTCGGTCCGGGCCTATTCATGAGCCAAAGGACCTTCCCAGCGCCGACTGGCCCGCAGCCTAAACACTGGGGTCTCCCTTCGCCTCGCCGGCCTGGCCAAGAGTGGGCGCTCGGACCCTGCGGGTGGGGCAAGAACGTCCCGAGTAAGAAGTGGGCTCGGCTCCGCGTCCCTGGGAGTCCCGGCCGCCTTGCAATTACCGCTCGCCCGAAAAGTTGTTTCCGTGGCGTCCGCCTCTGACGCCGGCTGGTGCTGCTCAGTGCCAGCTCCAGAACGCGACATAAAGCCAACTGGGAGATCCCTCTGGAAAGTCTGCCGGGCCGCCCCTCAATCTTCCAGCCCCGGGTCTGCCCCGCCCCCGCTGATTGGCTAGTCGCCAGCACGTGACTGCCTGAGGGGGCGGACCGGCCTCCTGGGGGCGGAGCTTGCGACAGCCTGGCTTTACCCGTGACTGGCCCTCCATCCGGGGCCAAAGCCTCTATCCTGGAAGAACCATTGTGAAAGCTGCCTACTGCAGAGTATCTTGGCGCCTAGATGCTTACAAGACTTCTTTGCTGCATTCATTCATTCATTTGGTCATTCAGTCAACAAATATTTACTGAATATCTACCATGTGCCAGGCACCTAGGCTCTGTGTGGGACAAGGACTGTCCTTGAGTGCACAAGTTAGGCATGGCTTCTGCCTTCCCACAGTTTACTTTCTAAGGCAGAGTAAGTGCATGACCCCTGGATCCACAATCACCTCAGTTCCCTGCTCAGCGTCTACCTTGGTGGGGGTGGGGGGTGATCTGCTGTATCAGAACCCTAACCTCAGATGTTACCGGAAGGAATGGGTACTTACCATTTCTGTACTCCTCCCCCACCAGGCAGCAGAAATAGGTTTGGAAAAAAGGCTAAATAACCATATTATCTCTCTCTCACACACACATACACACAGAGAGAAACCAAAAGCACAGTGGGATGGGTAAGAGGGCTATACCAAAAACAAAAAACAAAAAAAAACCCAAACCCGTTGCTGTAACAAACAACCCTCAAAACTCAATAACTTAGCGCCACAGTTCACTGGCGAGGGCGGGGGAGCTCTGTTTCATGCAGCATTCAAGGACCCAAGCTCCATCCATGTAGTGGCTCTGTCATTTCCTAGGGCCTCAGAATTCTCCACTAGATCTTCTGTATTTAAGACAACAGAGGAGCGAAGAGTGAGAAGGTTAAGTAATTTCATGGGAGACTTTTGGAGCCAGACCAGTAAAGTGGCATATATCATTGCCTGTTACATGATTCCATCTAACTACAAAGTAGACTGTGGAATGTAATCTGTTTGCCTGAGAGCAAAAGGAAATAGATTTGTGAATGCTTAGCATTGTCTCTGCCACATGCCCCTACTGAGAAATCTAACGATCATTTCCCATCATCTTATTGGACCTCTCAATTACATTTGACTGTTGACCCTGCATTCCATCACGCCCATATGTGACACTACTCTCAGCCAGTTCTCTTGTCCTTTATATTTTATTTTTTTTATTACTAACACATACAATGCTCACCACATGCCAAGCACTAATTGCTCTATAAATATTAACTCATTTAATCCTCATAACAACCTTGTGAGGTAGGTTCTTTTATTTATCCTATTTTATAGTTGAGGAAACTAGGTCACAGAGTGTAACTTGTTGAAGATCTCACAAGTAGTAGGTAGCAGGAACCAGGCTTTGAACCCAGGCAGTCCACTTCCAAAGCTTATTTCTTAATCAGTGCACTATGCTGCCTCTCTTCTTTTACTTCTCTTCCTTTTTGGTCTCTTCTTCCTCCTTCTATCCCTTAAGTGTTGGTGTTCTCTAGGGCTCTATCCTTGGCTTTATCTTTCTCTGTACTCCCTTCCTGTGAGATTTGATTCACTTTTTTAGGTTTTAATTACCACCTTTTCTGTAGGCTCCCCAGTGAGATCTCTAAGATGGGGTGGGGACTGTCTATGCTTGCCATATCAGCCACCACAGAACTCGGCACGTACAGGTGCTAAGAAAATATCTGTTGCCTGAATGAATGAGTACTCCTAGCTCTCTAACTCCAGATTGGATCTGAGCTCCAGACAGGGGTACTCAACTGCCCATTGGACATGAACAAGGATGTTAGCCAAGTAAGGGGGAATACGGATGGAGGGAAAAGAGTATTCCAGGAAGAGGGAATTAAGTCCTACCAACTTTGTTTCCAAAGTACTTCTCAAGTTCATTTCTTTTTTCCATCTCCACTGACACAGACCTCCTCTCTCACTTGGACCATAGTCACAGTCTCCCTGACTCTCATCTTTGTTGTTGTTAGGTGCCACCAAGTTGGTTCCAGCCATAGTGACCCTATGTACAACAAAACGAAACACTGCCCGGCCCTGCGCCATCCTCACAATTGTTGTTATGCTTGAGCCCATCATTGCAGCCACTGTGTCAATCTGTCTCATTGAGGGTCTTCCTCTCTTTCACTCACCCTCTACTTTCTCCAGGGACTGGTCCCTCCTGATAACATGTCCGAAGCACATGAGACGAAATCTTGCCATCCTCACTTCTAAGGAGCATTCTGGCTGTACTCCTTCCAAGACAGATTTGTTTGTTCTTCTGGCAGTCCATGGTATATTCCACATTCTTTGCCAACACCATAGTTTTAGACTTTATTCATTGTCCAGCTTTCAAATGCATATGAGGCGATTGAAAATACCACGGCTTGGGTCAGAGGCACCTTAGTCCTCAAAGTGACATCTTTGCTTTTTAACATTGTAAATAGATCTTTTGTAGCAGATTTGCCCAATGCAATAAGTCCTTTGATTTCTTGACTGCTGCTTCCATAGTCATGATCTCCCTGGCTCTCATCTTGCTCCCCACCAATTTAATCTCTACTCTGTAGCCCCGAATGTGATCTCATCACACCCCAACTGATAACCCTCTGTGGTTTACAAGGACCCCTTCTCACATTTTGTGCTTCAGAACAATCTTGGTCCCCTAAGCTGGAATGCCTGCCCCCATCTTTTTTTTTTTTAATTGCTGTAAATATATATATATATAAAAACACATTTGCCAATTCAACGTGTACAATTTCGTGACACCAATCACATTAACAATGTTGTGCAACCATCACCGATATCCGTTGCCAAATTTTCCACCACCGTAAGTTCCCACGTTTCCTAAAGACACTTCTCTGGTGTTCCTGCCAGCCTTCCCTATGCCCCCAGGATGAACCGCTTCCCCCCACCACCACCCCATCCCCCCACCGCGCCCGGTTCTGCGGTAGCAAAGCCGGGCTGTAATAATCACAGGTCCCGGAAGGCTCTGCTTCCGGGATCGCCTGCTTCACTAGCCAGTAGGTTTAGGCGGGTCAGTCCATTCCCGGCCTCACTCCGCCCAAACGGACTCCACGCAGCGTTGCGTTAGGAGAGACCCTCCCTGGAGTCCCGGACGTCAGCAGGTAGGACGGTTTGGCACCGCCCCCTCGCCTCCCGTGCGCTTGCCGCCTCACCTCTCCGCGCTCCCCTTGAGGAAATGGTTCCGCCCAAGGGGGCGGTGCCCGGGTACCTCGGCCGTTCTGATTGGCCAGATCGAGCCATACCACGGCGGTGGCGGCGGTGGAGGCGGTGCGGGCAGCGCCGCGGGCTTGGAGGCAGTGTCACGGCCCCAGACTCCAGCTCGACTCCCGGTCGCCTTCTGCGCTGCGGCGTGCCAGGCCACCATCCAGGATGCAGTGGGCGGTGGGTCGGCGGTGGGCGTGGGCCGCGCTGCTTCTGGCTGCAGCGGCTGTGTTGGCTCAAGTCGTCTGGCTCTGGCTGGGTACGCAGAGCTTCGTCTTCCAGCACGAAGAGATCGCGCAGCTGGCACGGCAGTATGCGGGTGAGCGGGAAGGGGGCGGGACGGTCTGGTTCGAGCCTAGATGGACGGAAGAGACCAGGGGCTGGTCAGGAGGCGGGCCGGCCGAGTGTGCGGTCCCGGAGCCCAGGACCGGTGCCGGCCCTGACTCCTCCGCTCCTCTCCCCTCGCCAGGGCTGGACCACGAGCTGGCCTTCTCTCGGCTGATCGTGGAGCTGCGGCGACTGCACCCAGGCCACGTGCTGCCCGACGAGGAGCTGCAATGGGTGTTCGTGAACGCCGGTGGCTGGATGGGCGCCATGTGCCTTCTGCACGCCTCGCTGTCCGAGTACGTGCTGCTCTTCGGCACCGCCCTGGGCTCCGGTGGCCACTCCGGTCAGTACTGGCGGCGGGCTGGACTAGGAGGCTGAGGGGCAAACCCTCGTTTCTGATATTTGGCACCGCCGTGTGAAGGCGCGGATACCCTGATATTTGGTGTTCATCTGATTATCCCTCAGGGCGCTATTGGGCTGAGATCTCGGATACCATCATCTCTGGCACCTTCCACCAGTGGAGAGAGGGCACCACCAAAAGTGAGGTCTTCTATCCAGGTGGGTAGAAAGCCTCTGTCAGAGAGTTGGGTCCCCTCACCCTGGGTGTGCCCACAGTTGGGGTAGAGAGCCATGGCGACGGGAAAGGGGTACATTGGAGGGTCCTCTCCGTGGTTCCCATTCCCCCAGATAAGCCACAGGTGGTTGGCTGGTCTATCTAGACACTATATTTTACTTAGCCAATATCCAACAATTGTAGAGGAGACAGTTGGGTAATCAGAAATGCTCTCATACCCCCAAGGCAGACAGTTGTCTTTTTTTTTTTCTCGCTCTCTTCCTCTCTCTCACTCTTACACTGAAGCATTTACATAGAAAATTGAGCTTTGGACTTTCAAGTAAGTTTGAGGTTGATTGATACAAGCATCATGGGCACTGGGCTTCAATAGCTGCATTTCTCAGAAAGCCTCACAAATCTTTAACCACTCCTCCCTATCTAACAGGCCCAGCCTAAGGTTTGCTAGATTTCTGCTTGACTTGAGTGGGGCTTGGGAATGACTTTCACACAGTGGCCCATGGCCAGGTGAGATGGAGGTGAAGTGGATCCTCTACCCAATGGCTCTCCATGGCTTTCCCCAAGAGAAGACACGGGCCAGGTGATGCCACAGAGGGACATATAGGAGTGGCCCTTTGGGCTTCTTACTCCTCCAGATGGTAGACCAGGCAAGTGAGGTAGGGCTTTTTCCTTTCCTGAAGCTCCCTCTCTGTTCTCCAACCTAGACAGCCAATAGGTCATAGAAGCAGCAGCAATGGAGGGGCAGGGCAGGGCTGGGCTGGGCTTCTCACATGCGTGTTCCCTGTCCCCCAGGGGAGACAGTGATGCACGGGCCTGGAGAGGCGACAGCTGTGGAGTGGGGGCCGAACACGTGGATGGTGGAGTACGGCCGGGGTGTCATCCCATCTACCCTGGCCTTCGCGCTCGCTGACACAGTCTTCAGCACCCAGGACTTTCTCACCCTCTTCTATACTCTTCGCGCCTATGCCCGGGGCCTCCGGCTTGAGCTTACCACCTACCTCTTTGGCCAGGACTGCTGACCAGCAGGGCCTGAAGGAGGACCTGTGGATGGACAGGAGTAGGCAGGCCTACTGGAGCCTGTGTGTTTGGGAACATACTCATACCATGCAGATGCTGAGTTCCTGGTGTACAAGCAGGGACGTACATGCTTATACATCCAAACACAGAGACTTGTGGGAACATATGAAACCCATATGCAGATAGTGAGATCTGTATGTATGGCAACAATCATGTGCTCACACCCATTGAGAGAGGGAGCCCCACATATACCAAGGGGGGCAGTCATGTTCAAACATATATACTGTAAGCTTGGCTCACTAACTCAGGCCTTTCTAAAGCTTCCCCACCCCCAGTCAGGGCTCTGGAGTTAGGGATGGGGGTGAGTATTACAGTCTGCCTGGGTCTGACCCCTCAATCTAGCAGTAATTTGAAGGGGCTAGGGGGAAGAGGAGCTGCCCTTTGGAGGCCTCCTTTCCCTGTAGCTATAATGCCCTTCCCCTTCATCTCCTCTGCCCTCACCATATGCCTTATACCCACTCTGCTCCTTTGCTATGCAAGTGCCCCATGGACTGTCCCCCACCCCCTCAGCAACCAAATCAGCTGGGGAATCAGGAACTTGGAGAATGCTGAGGTTAGGACCCTACCTCCCTGAAGGACTCCCATTCCCCCCTTGGGGGTATGATGGGAGGCTGACCTTAGCCCAGGGTCCACTACTTAGGAGAGGGCCTAAAGACATGGGCCTGAATCCAAGTGGCCATCCCGGGCCTGGGGGAGGCCTGGTCTGCACACTCACACTGCCCCTGCCCATGCACATCACAGCTTCCAGACACTGCCCCTGCTGCATTCTTTGTCATCTATGTTAATAAAGCCCTGTCAAACAATTCCATTTCTTTGTGTTGTATGAGCAGCAGGAAGAGCTGCTAATTCCTGGGGGACCTAGAGAAGGCCTCTCCCTTGCTGTGTGCCTTAGTTTCCCTATCACACCATAGCTTTGGACTATAGTAGGGACTCAAACTTAAGTGCGCATAGAATCACCCAGGAAGCTCATTGACTACAGATTACTAGGCCCAATCCTCAGAAATCAGTTTTGAGTTGAAGCCTTGAGATCAGCTTTTTTAATAAGATCCCCTCCACCACAGTTGTGAATGCCACAATTTGAGAAATTCAGGGTTGGGTGAGGTAGTGTGTGTCTTGGTTTGGACTCTGCCAGTGTTCTGGGAACAGTCCTAAGAATCTGTGCCCTGCCCTGAGCGGCCACAGAGTGGCAGTATGTACCCACTTTTGAGCTGCAAGTGGCATAGTTGTACTTCTCAGTCTCTGCGGTTTTTGAAGCTCCCAGGGGATTGTATCCACCCTCCTCGAGAGCAGGATTCCACATTCTGTGGTCTACCTTCTTCAGGCCCCCCCACAACCTGGCAGTAAGGTAGAGCCGGGACAAGGGTGAGGCCAGAGAGCCTGCTGAGGGTGCAAAACGTAAAAAGGCACTCACTCCTGGGACACCACTCAGTTCACTGGTTTACTCAAATTTTCTGCCCTACAAAGGATATGCATAGGCACTTCGCCAAAGAAGATATTCAGGTGGCTAACAGACACATGAAGAAATGCTCACGATCATTAGCCATTAGAGAAATGCAGATCAAAACTACAGTGAGATATCATCTCACTCCAA